TTTGATAGTAGACGTTGTTCCTGAATACTTCTCTTCCAAAATGAAAACGGTTTTTTCAGGTTTGCATAAGATTCTCCTTTAAATTTAAAGATTTTCCACATCGCCAACGATACATTCAATGAAATGCAGCCGTACCGTCGAGGCAGCTGGCAATCCTAGACAACTGGAATCGGCAGCATTGTTCAGTAATGCTATGAGGAGTATAACTTTGTCAGATCAGGAGTAGTCCGTCTGTAAGCTTGCTTGATTCTGGCAGTCTCTGTTATCGACTGCCCGTTTTAGCCATCCTGGGCAATCCACAAAAAAAGATTGCCGGAGTTGACTGTGGTGAATGCCACGCTGATCGGAATATTCATTGGTTGGACCCGTTTAAATATAGGGACATTTCCTCCGTGCTTCCATTCTCAACGGAAGCATTATGAGGTCTACATTTGATGAAACGTAAATCATTATTTATCTTATAAGGGATTACCTATACAGTTCCATACTCTACTCCGGAAAATGTCGCGGCTGAAGCTAACTGTTTTGATAAACAAATGAGTCCAAGGCATATAACCGTTTTTATGAAGTGAACTTGCAGCAGGTTGATCTAAGATGCATAATGGTTTAAAAAGAAGGTTGTCTAACGTTGATAGCTTCCATGTCGTACCTCCACTATTCACATTTTGATATACGAAATATCCAAAAATCAGACATTGGCAAATGTCCAGGGTTGCTGGCCAGGTATTAGCTTCTCACTGCCTTTCCAGCTGTGCAGGCATTGTCACTGTGAGCCGTCTACCTCGTGGTTTATTCTAATAAATTTTTCTTTTCGAGGAACTAACGAGACACTGGTTTGAAATTAGTCAAAGTGTATAATTCATCTGAAATCAATGCGTGCTTTTCATTTATAGTTAAATAATATAGTAGAGATTAACAAGCGCGCGGCTGCTTCCTGATGCAGAGCAAAGTAAGCAACAATGAATTTCATGCTGATAAGCCATTTGGAAAATTCGTGATATTTGGTGTAGTTGAATCCTCTCACCCGTTTCGACGGTGATCTTTGCTTGTACCGGTTTTGTGACGGATTTGATTGACAGTAAAGGTTGAGATTCGCGTTAGAGATGCAGATTTGCTTCTAATTGAGGACAAGAACAAGTAAAGAATGGCTGAGGAATTGGATACTGGACATTGTCATGACAAAATAGCAGTATCTACGCCGAAATAGTCACATAGATCTTTTTTCCTCTATTTTTCTTGCTGCGTATTATTCAGTAACGATTGCTTCCGGAACCTTTCTTTTCTTCCAGTTAGTTTTTTGAATTATTTTTCTGGAGTTCACGTAGATGGTTTGTCTTCGGTAGGCAGTGTTGCGCTACGGTTCAACCTATCTACTGTGTAGCCCATATGTTCACGTGTGTGATTTTGAATTTCCGCGGAGTTTTCCCAACATAGCTGTCCGCAAATGTAATGGGTCTGTACGATCAGCCCGGCCTTAGTCCCGTTGCTGAACCAAGAGCATATGGTGCTATTTCGTGTGTATTTGTTTCTTATCCCATATTTTGAAGCATTTTGACCACACAACCTCTATAATCACTCTCTCACGAGTAGTCAACTGTTTTAAGCGATTTGTTTGAGTGTCGTTCATTTACTGTTTGATTTCAGTTGCGAACACTGGGAATTCGTTCTTTGCGCTTTGGTCGCTAGCTGTGATTCGGCTTGCCACCAGTTAGTCGATCTGCACAGAAAACTATGACGGCTCGATACGATGAAATTCTGGTCGACTTCCTGTCTAAAGTTCACCTGACGAAACCGGTTGGTTGACGACAGTGGCATAATCGGCGTTTCGTATCCAGTCCTACAATGCTAAATGTGCCATAAGGTAATTGACTTCTCCGGTGCTCGTTGTTATAGCGCTTTGGGTCACTGGGTCGTTCACGTTGTCGTCGTTCCTGCCGCTGAGCGGTCGGTGCACGAGATCCATATATAATTTACTTTTGGCTTCGAAGGAAAGGTGAGTCTTTCTTTGACCCTGAAGTTCGCCTGTGTCGTTCGTCAGAGAAGTTCTTCGTCGCCATATCGCTGTTTTAGACGTACCTCGTTGTTTCTCAGTGTACGGGTGGTGCTGTGCTCAACGATTTC